ATGGTGGGACGACTACGCATCGATAGTCCCAGCGGCCTTTGAGTGTGTTGCAATTACAATTATTTGGCTTCGGTTCAGACGATACGGTAGCCCCGGTTATACTTCTACTTTTCAATGCAGATCATTGTTAATATTTACATCTTTAGATCATTCTGAGTATGTGCGGCAGTTGAAAATCGCATTGAGTTATATGAACATGGCGTCTTTGTCCATTATCATCTGGTACGCATACCATTTTCTCGTTAGTTAACACTCCACGGTTTGTTTTAAATTTTCTCTCTAGGTGGTCGAGAATCAGCCTTGCTCTAGCAGTGGTTCGTATTACCCCTGTTTGGTCTAAAACTCGACTATGGGTCATCGGTTTTACCTGTGCTTTCATCATGGCCTGGATCGCACTCCTACTCGCAATGATGGTAACGTGCGCTGTGAGGACAGACTGGCAGCACGTCAGGGCCGATATCGTATTATGTGGTCCATCATACGGGATAACTAATGCTACCCTACCAAGTTAAGACTCCTTACGGCCTGTCTTTAAATCTATGTGACATGTTTATTCTTTACAGCCAACCTCACAAGTGACATGATACTTTTCGGATTCCCATTGTATCGATTGTGGTACATCAAGCTTCGACCTGCACAGCGTCGTCTTGTCTTATTCGTGTTCTCTACAAGTATATTAAGCCTCGCCGGAGAAGTGGCAGTGGCTATCGTCACGTATGGCAAGCTTTTTAATGGCCCTGGGGCGCTACTGGTGTGGTCGATGACGTCAAACATCTATGTAAGTAGCACGGTGTATTTTATCCCATTTGCTCCTGATTTTACGTGGCTCTGAAGCAAGCGATTATGGTATTTGCGTGCAACCTCCCGGTGCTCATCTCGTGGGGGTATCGTGTGTACTCTCGTGACGACGACGATGAGCCCGGTGACCACATCACACCTCATTGGAGTCGCGTCTCTCCGAGTGAATTATCAACACCAAGTTTTGTACTGTCGGATTTATCTGGTAGTCGCAGTCAAAATTACGAGAATGTAGTTCGAATATCAGTATCGGAAGCGTCTCTTCCCAGCCAGATCAAAACACAGCGCGAGGAAAGCGTTAACGCAGAGTGGAAGGTTAGGGAGGAGGTCCCGGACACTATTTCGAGGAAGGAGATCATTGTATAGATAAATTATATATTTTTGGATGATGGACTGCAAATAATTTAACGGAGTTGACAACGAAGTACTGTCGTCGAAACATAATGTGATTAGATCAGGAAGGAGGACTGCCAAACTTAATGAAAAAACTTAACGCTTCGCCATTCAAATTTGACTTCGTAGAGTTCTACTTATAGAATACACTGACACGAACGAAATCCTGGTGTTCACTTGTGATTTGCGTTTGAAAAGACTGAGAATGACTCTTGACGCTTTGATATCACTCAAATCATTGAGTTTCAATGGCAACCGCTTGACATCGTCTTTTATCTTTTGAAAGCGAGATAGAAGTGTATTAGTAATTTCCCTGAGTAATGCAGCTCTAGTACGTCGAGCTGGCACTTAGATGCTTATTCAGATGCTCACTAATACTTGGGACTCGTATATAATGATGGACGGTTGTAGTATATTCTAGATAGCTTACTTGCATGTATATGAAGCATGCTAAAGGTCTCGTAGATATAGGCAATGTCTTTAATACTCTAACCTCATTCCCCAATAAAGTTAACTCATCGTCTTGTTATCTCATAACTAAAGCTATTGATCATATATGTGCTTATTCTAATTTGATACTACTTTATACCTACATTCTTGTCCGTATGGCATCTCAATGGTACCCATCCTATACATACCTATATAGACTCTGCACCTCATTGTTCCACCTAACTCGCATATATCATTGATGAGTTGCGTGACAAGTGCCAGTAGCTAATGTTATCTTTAAATGTTTTAATATACCAACCAACTTTTGAATTCCAAGGAAATTCAAAGGAGCATTTCATTCTTGGTACCTTATGTCAACATATATACTAGTACTTGAGACTTGTTTTTGCTTCTTAGTTACAACCTGCACAGCGTCGTCTCATCTTAAGGCTCGTGTTATCTATAAGCATTTTGGCCCTTGTTGAGACAGCGGCAATTGCTATCATCTCGTTTGACAGGCTTTTAAAAGGCCATCGGGAGTTGTTTGAGTGGCCGATGGCCACAAACAACGACATAAGTAACGTGGCGTATCTTTTTTTCTTTTTTTTCTTCGGGATTTTCTTTTATTTCTGGAGATATCCATCCTCGATTTGGATCGTGGGAATGTTCCATCCAATCCAGTAAGCTGATCAGACGGTGGCAACATCTAGCAATTCAGAGGCATCTACAGCAGTTGATTGGTCAAGTTGCGAAGTATATTTTAATGATACATGCATGAATGTTCTGATAATTTTCACGATCATCTGATTGGGTTAATCACGTTCTATCTCCATGAGCTTCGTCAAGGTCACCTCCCCATAGCAGTGCCAAGCCTTGTAATTATGAAGCCATTTCAATTTAGAGGTCAGAAATTATTCACGTCGGTGGGCTCCAAATTATTTGAAGATTGGTTTTGAAGCCATCAGTGCGGACATAAAAATTGCGGAGAAAGCCGTCTCGGTGCGTACTCAAGATTAGGCCGAGGGTCGGCCGCTCGTTCCTCAACCCAGCTTCGCCGGGAGTTGAAAATCCAGGACTTGAATTGGCCCAGATGTTGTTGATCAGTGGCTGTCAAAAGGTACTTACTTTAACTATATCTGTGAGGCCCACTTCCTTAAGGTTCCCGAATCCCAGATGACAGCAAACAGTGCAAATGGAAATTTACTTTTTCTCCTACCAATATATCGTTTAGTGTTCGTGGTCATTAACCATTGCCAGTGACTGTAGCCACTTACGTCGCAAAAATTGTCAGGTGTTTCTATAACTCCAATGTTGACTGGAGGAGTACCGAACTAGAGTGACAAAGCTTTGAAACTCAATTACTCTCAGGGTTGGTTGACATATCGTACCTTCTCGTCGGTGGCCGAACATGGACCCCTACAACTATATATTCGCGTGTACTTCAAACCTCGACGGCGCCCGCGACAGCTTCGTCGTGTCTCCATTCACGCTCCTCGTCGTTGTCGATGATTCCCGCACAACCGTATCTCCCCTGGAAAGGTAAGTTGCGGTCTACTTAGAAGAGGCGTTCTAATGTATATATTACTTTCATTATTTCCTCGTTCTATCAGTGTCTGTTACCACCCTGCATGTCATTGGAATATTATCCTCCGTGCTAAGAGTTGAATATCGTCGTCGGACGCGTCGATTATGGTGGGACGACTATGCTTCGATAGGCCCAGCGGCCTTTGAGTGTGTTGCAATTGCAATTATTTGGCTTCGGTTTAGACGTTACGGTACGCCCCGGTTATACTTCTACCCTTCAGTGCAGATCATTGCTAATATTTGCATCTTTAGATGATTCCGAGCATGTACGGCAGTTGAAAATCGCATTGAGTTATATGAACATGGCGTCTTTGTCTATAATCATCTGGTGCGTATTCCATTTTCTCATCAGTTATCACTGAACCGTTTCTTTGGTCTTTAGGTGGTCGCGAATCAGCCTCGCTCTAGCAGTGGTTCGCATTACACCTGTTTGGTCTAAAACTCGACTATGGGTTATTGGTTTTACTTGTGCTTTCATGGTGGCCTGGATCGCACTCCTCCTCATAATGATGGTAAAGTGCACTGTAAACACAGACTGGCAGCGTATCAGGGCCGATATCATATTATGTGGTCCATCTTACAGGGTAACTAATGCTTCCCTACCAAGTTAAGACACCTTCCAACCTACCTTTAAATGTATGTGACATTTATTCTCTACAGTCAACCTCACAAGTGACCTGATACTTTTCGGATTCCCATTTTATCGATTGTGGTACATCAAGCTTCGACCTGCACAGCGTCGCCTTGTCTTGCTCGTGTTCTCTACAAGCGTCTTAAGCCTCACCGGAGAAGTGGCATTTTCTATCATCACGTATGGCAAGTTTCTTAACGGCCCTGGGGCGATGTTGGTGTGGCCAATGACGTCGAACATATATGTAAGTAAATCGGTGTATTTTATCCTATTTCCTCCTGATTTTGCGTGCTTCTCAAGCAAGCGATTACTGTATTTGCGTGCAACTTCCCAGTGCTTATCTCGTGGGGGTATCGTGTCTACTCTCGTGACAACGATGATGAATCCGGTGACCACATCACACATCACTGGAGCCACGACGCTCCGGGAGGATTACCAAAACCAAGTTTTGTACTGACAGATTTATCTGGCAGTCGCAGTCAAACTTCCGAGAATGTTATTAGAATATCAGTATCGGAAGCGTCACTTCCCAGCCAGATCAAAACACAGGACGATGAAATCGTTAATGGACAGTGGAACGTTAGAGAAGAGGTCTTAGACACTATTTCGAGGAAGGATGTTATTGTATAGATAAATTTCATTTTTTTTTCGGATAATGAACTGTAATGATTCAACGGTTTTTATAACAGAGGATATCGTCGAAGCATGGTTTGATTAGAACTGGAAGAAAGACTGCCGAAACTAATGAAAAAAACTTCAACGTTTCGCCGTTCAAATTCGACTTCGTAAACTTCTACTAGAATATGCTGACATGCACAAAACCTTTGTGTTCATTTGTGATTCTGTTTCGAAAAGACTGAGAAAGTCTTTTGAACGCTTTGATATCACTCTAATCATTGGATTTCATCAGCACTGACCACTCGATATTGTCCTTTACTAACAGCTGATAAAAGTATAATGGAGACTCGTCTAGGTAAAGCAACTCACATATGCCGACCTGGCACTCAGGGTGCTCGATACCAATTGACAATATATGCAAGAAGACTCAAGGAATTCTAAAGCTGTAGGACTACATTACATATTGAAATATGTTGCTCGTAACTAAGTAGATTTAAGGCGTACATAAGCGAAACAACCAATACAATTGTGTGTTGTCTCTTAAGAAGGCCGCCTGGCGAAATGGCATCGCGTCTGACTACGATATACCAGATACAGTGGCAAATATTTCAATCAGGAGATTGCAGGTTCGACCCCTGCGGTGGTCATTCGGTATTCAAGATAGAATTTTATGTTTCAGATGCCAATTATAGAACAATTAATGACCTGCAGCTGGTACCAATTATATTACATAGAAACCCCTTGTGCGTAGGACACCGTACAGAAACTAGCTAAGTTGGAGTCTATTTTACAACTGTTGCAACAAGTCGCAGACGCCTTCGTTTGAAGAGAATTCTTTATATTGGGCAGATGACTATACCTTCCATTCGCTCTGCTATAAGCCCTAGTTTCGAGTTCTTCGAACAAGCCGAATGGTTTTATAACAAAATGCCGCGATATCGCCGTTGGTATACACGTTGAAAAGCGGGGTATAGGCCAAGCGAATTGACGGACACCTGAGGATAAGAGAAGGATCCCGATAATATTCAATTCCGACGATCGCTGGATTCTGAGGCGATGTTTACATTGTACAAACTAATTTGTTCCTTGGTTAGGTATTCAAGTTCGTGCATTGTATCGCTTAGTTGTGTTCAGTTAACGGTCATTACTCGATGCCAAGCACAAAGGATGCACTTAACCCTTGAAAGAAATGCTGAGCGCTTGAAGAAGCATCGAGGACGCGTGGTGTATAAATACAAGACTCGTCCGGGGTCCAGGGTCGAGTATATGCCAATGGAAGAGGGTTCGTAGCAGGCATGTTGAGTGGATGGAAGCCGGTGATTTGATGTCGTCGAAAGGAGCTCGGGAAGTTGAAAGGAGCTGGAGAAGTAGAGACCGTCGGAAGGAGAAAGGAGAACGTGGATGATGCATCGTGGAGATGATCGAGCGCCGGGTTTTGCATCGTCGTGAACACGAAGGCATCTGGTGCACAGTCAAGTTTTGGTTTGCTAGGAAAGCGAACATCACGATTGGAGGTCGAACTCAAAGATTGGTTGCAACTGCGTTACATCAAACTTAACAGTATACTTGAACTGAAATAAGTGATGAAGGCTGTTAGTTGACGAAATAATTGCACGTTCGTGTGTTATATTTGTATCCTTACAATGTCTCTATATGAGAAGTTTGATAAAGTTCCTTGACGTTAACAAGGCAAGTTCCGCGAATGAAGGGTCCCTGCGTATACGGGTGGTGCACCTTCTCTGCTCTCGTATGATCATATCCAGGAAGTCGCGCTCCGATGGCGAAGCAGGTCATAAGTTCGAGTTAGGGGTGTTTGATCCTCTGGTTCATCGATCGGATCATGGGTATCTATCGTCCTAGACGGTTTGATATGCTAGGTTTATCATTTCTCGCGTAGGATTGCATGGACGGGAATCCCGGTCCTGGACATCCGATTGTTCTGGCGTGGTTAAAAGTATTCTGGCACTGTTAAAAATGTTCTGACACGGTTGAGCATTCCGACAGAAATGACGGATACTGATGGCGTGTGTGGATAAACGGAACCCATATAACCATGTCACCCAAATTGAATGATAAGCGCCGGGATTAAATGCGGGGGAGTTGGGGGAGGAGCTATAAATAAAACGCCAAGTACCTGAGTGGGGGAAGAAGTATCCCGCCAAGGGCGTGGGGAGATAGCTATGGGATTGATGTCAGAGACGGGGGTTGAATGGCATGGGAGAGTGAGAAGAAGGGAGCTGCAGAACAGCACGGGAGAATGCGAGGGTGGTTGAATAACTCACTATTCGATACAACAGCACGGGAGAACATGAGGAACCAGAGAAGGGTGATAAACAACCCAGTGGAAGGTGGGGGAGGAGAGGCGCAATAACCGGATGGTGGACATACGGCTATCTCCTTTTGCCTTTAGTCTGTTTTGGCGTGGTGAGCTAGACAAGCGGTGGTAAGCGACGTAATTCGCTAGCGCGGGGTATAAGACAGGTGGAGCTTCTTCAAGAAGCCGTGTGAGGCATCCTTCCTTCTTCCCGTGCTAGTGAAGAAGTGTATCTTGTCGACATCGCACCGACGCCTGCCCCGACGAGTACATAGTCCCCGACTATCGCAGGAGTAACGACCCTCAACGAAAACTGAACACAATGGCCCCTTACTTCCTACGCAATCTTGTCCCGCGTCGCGAAAAACGTGAACGCGCTCGTCCGCTGCTCACTGTCCTTGCTGGATTGACATGGATCCAGTGGGCTCATTTCTTCTCTGGGTGAGTGGTCGAGGCCGCTTTTCGATTACCCAACCCTCCCTTCCCTGCGCTTTGTCGACCATTTCAGTCGTGATGCTGTAAAGGACGATCGACCTTGGTCTGCTTGGAGGCGTTGATGGTCCTTGGAGGCGCCTGTCGACGCGGACCTGCCAAGTGATCTTGTCCTCGACCCACGACAATGAGCGTGATGTTTGGCCTCGTTGGCTTTGGCTAACAACTGGCTTATCGTCGTTCGAGGCGTTCTGTTCACTGCTCTTTCCATCACGGTTTTCCCTTATCACCTTCATACGTTTGTTAATATCAACTTCCCCGCTTCCCCAGATGGCTCGCATGGACATGCGACGCGATCGACTTCTTCTCCGTCTCGCTCAGCGTCACAAACCTCCAGACCCAGTTCAATAAGCCCACACATGATATCGTAAGTCCTCCGTGCTTTCGCTCTTCTACTCTTCTTGCAAGGAAGGCTAACGCGATCCTCGTAGACGACGGCGATAACGCTCACCCTGCTCTTCCGCTCCGTCGGTGCTGTGAGTCCTCCCTCTTCCCTTCCTATCCCCGCCCTCAACTCAATCCTCGTTACAGGTAATATTCGGCATCCTCTCTGATCGCTACGGCCGAAAATGGCCTTTAGTCTTCAACCTCCTGCTCGTCTCCGTCCTTGAGCTCGGTGCTGGCTTCGTTCAAACATTCCAGCAATTCCTCGCCCTGCGCTCTCTCTTCGGTATCGGCATGGGTGGCATTTGGGGCCTTGCAGCCTCAACCGCTCTGGAGAATCTGCCCGTCGAAGCTCGTGGCTTGGCGAGTGGTGTTCTACAGCAAGGGTACGCGGTAGGCTACCTACTAGCTGCCGTTGTTAACCTCCAACTGGTGCCGAGCGTTAGTGCGGGGTGGAGGAGTCTCTTCTGGACCGCATCGGGAATTTCGCTCTTCGCCGCTGGAGTGAGAGCGCTCTTGCCAGAGAGTGAGGTGTTTTTGAGGGCGAAGGAGAAGGAACGGGTGGATCGGGATGCACGCGGGGCGGCAAGTGGGAAGAGCAAGACGAGGGTGTTCTTGCATGAGACGAAGGAGATGCTGAAGAGGCATTGGTTGTTGTGTATCTATGCGATTTTGTTGATGACTGGTGAGTCTGGTTTTCGCTTTCGTTCGTTTGATTATTCGTTCTTGCTTGCGCTGTGTTCCAACTCTGTCGTACAGTCGTTCATCTTCTTGGACTGCACACATTCTTGCTTTGCGTCCGTCACTTTATGATACAATCATTTTGCTTCTTCCTCCATCCTACCTATACGCTATCTTTCGGTTCCACTCTCGTGCCAAGTGCCCGTCCCCATTCTTCCATACTCTTCATCGTTTCTTACTCTCTCCCTCTCTGCTGGCCTACACATATACTCACATCCATTCAACTCTCCGTTATCTTTTCCTTCCTCCTACCCTCTCTACCTACCCAAATCCCACCTCCACGTTTCCTTACCCCTTCAACATCCTAAATCTCACCATATCTTCTCATCTTATCAACCGCTCCATTTTGCCTTCATTCGTTCCTTCCCATTCTTTCATCTTCACTCCCATTGTACTCTCCCGTCCTTTTCCATCTCTTGCCGTTCCTTCATTCCTTATTCCACTACTTCTCACCCCTTACACGCCTATCGAACATATTCTCACCCCACACTCTCACTTAGGCTTCAACTTCCTCTCACACGGATCTCAGGTACGCTCTTTTGCCTTCTCCCTTCTCTTGGCGTCCGCTCTCTTCTCCCTTTTGTCTTTCTTTGGTATCTGTGTCTCTCGCATTGGATGTGGGAGAGAGCCGAGGCATCTCAGGCACGTTCGACCAACAGAGTTCTGCGCGTATGGCAACATGTGAAAACTGTTCGGTGCCGTCGCCCAGTGGAGCTTCGGCATGTTCGACATGTGAGAGTCGGATCGGTGCTGTCGGGCTCTGCGCTACTATCGACGTCCCTCTCATCCAATGCACTATTCCAACAACTCAGCTCTGCGAATAGGGATCGTCGGACATCCGTCTGTCCATCTATCTGTGCAGGAGCTTCTGGTGGCATTTTTGTGTCTCATCTTCGCTTCTGCAAGGATTGTAACGAATGTTCGATGATCACTGGTAACGCGGACTGTAGTGTTGCTGCTATCTCTCTCATTCGTCAATTCTACTTTTCTTTGTTTTTTGTTTTTGGCGCTTTGACTTGATGAGAACATGTTCACTGATATGATACCTCCGTACAGGATCTCTACCCAACGTATCTCCAATCCTCGAAGAATTTCTCCGCCCACAATGCAACTGTGGCTACTATCATCGGGAATTGCGTAAGTCTCCATTCTCCTTCACCTCGCGAGTTGTTACTTACATACCTGACTTAACTCGCAGGGTGCTATCGCGTGCGTCTCCACAAGCCCCTTAGAAATTTTGAGGGTATGAAGCTAACACACTATATACAGAGGTGGGATGATTGCTGGCTGGCTGAGCCAATACATCGGGCGTCGCTTGACTATCATGTAACGTCCTCCCAGTTTGTGCTTCCTCCACCTTTACTAAACACCTTTGTCTCTGCAGCTTATTCGTCCTACTCATCGGAGGTACGTGTGTCCGACTATTCCTAATAACAACCTCTGATACCAACACACTGCTCTACAGCATTCATCCCTCTCTGGATCCTCCCCTCCTCCTTCGGCGCCCTCGCAGCAGGTGCATTCTGCATTCAATTCGGTGTGCAGGGCGCGTGGGGCGTCATCCCCATCCAGCTTGCTGAGATGTCCCCACCTGCGTTCAGAGCGACCTTCCCGGGTGTGGCATATCAGATTGGGAATATGGTGTCGTCGGCATCGGCACAGATTGAGGCTAGTAAGTGGTTTATTATGTTACTGTCTCCCGGTGGTTCGATGAGA